CTTAGAAAATATCAAAAGACTTATTACTCTTTGAGAAAGTATAATTATTCTGAGATATGTCATTTTGGCATGCTAAGTCAAAATATCAATACAATAAGTCAGAATTTCTGCATAATAAATAAAAATTTACTTAATATGGTTTGTTTCCATCAAACTGACTTTTAGCAATAAAAATAATTTACGAAATGATCATTTCCTGTTGTAACATGATTTTTGGTTTATCAAAAGTTTTGTTTGAAAATGTTTTGTTTCCATCTCTAATGTCATATATGTCACAACTTGTATAACTCCTTATGCTTAAATGCATTATTTGTCCTGAAAAAGAAAAAATTCCTGAAACTTCCTGAAAAATTTCTGGTATCAATAAAATTTTTACCATGGACAATACTTTGTAAAAACACATTTCCCTGCACTTACATAAGAACAAATCTGTTGACTCAAAACACACTGCTCACTGGCTATCCCTGTTGTGTTTTGAGTCAACAGGTTTTCTGTTCTGTAGACATCATTGTCTGTGGTAATGAACCTTACAGTGCAGACGCAGCACATTAGAGGCTGGGTTGAAAAATGCTGGAGTATTCCAGTAAGCCAACCTCAAATCAAAATGGACCTTTTTCACCTTGTTAATTCACGAATATGGTTTACATATAGTCTTTGAAGTGTAGTGACTTTTGTTCATCCTAAATTGTCAGTTTGGTTATTAAAAAAAAATAACTTTTTCGATAATAATCTTGGTATGTTTGCCCTCCCCCTCCCATCACCCTGACCCTCTATAGAGCAAGAACACCTGTCATTCCCAGATGCACATACATGAACGTTGGCAGCCTCCTTTCTTCTCCTGACTTTACTCTCTCGACTTTAACTTTCAGTTTTTAGACTGCTTGTAAAATAATCACTTATGATACCCATACACACATACATACACATACACACACACACAGTCCATCTCCAACCCACACTTTGGGTACTTAAACTCATACATGGATACACTGTAACTTGACTTTTTTCTCCTGAAGTCTTTTTCCATTTGTTTTGCCATGAAAATGCAAGAAAAGAGAAAGCAATGCTAAAAGGCTAGCCCGTTAACTAAGGAGACCAGATTTCTGAAATTAAAAGTGGGGACATTTCCAGTTCAGCAGTCAATATATCATTAAAATATCCAATGTTTTTATCTATGAAATAAAAAAGAGAAGACAGTTCCAGTTTCATGTATTTTGACCATGGTAACTGTTGTACTGCATTAAACTATGATGAAGGCCGACTGATAAAAAAGGAATGAGGCAGGGATACGTTTACCACAAAAGAGTCAGTGGCTGTGTGAGCCCATAATTCATGTGCATTTTAAATGTTTTGGCAGTAAAAAAGAGACCCATGGCTACAGAGTAAAGACCCGTGGCTACAGCCCAATAGCCAGACCCTAAACACACCCCTAATCTAGCTCAGAGACAGAGGCGGCTACCAACAACATGTGCCATGCAGTTTAAAAAAACAGCACACTATTTGTAGATGGCATGGTAGCCTGCATTCAATTAGACTGTATGTCTATACGAATCAGGTCTATCACCTGGTAGCACAATTTAAGCCCCGTAGCCCACCCCTGCTTTTAATCCCTGGGTCACCTTGTGTTCTGAAAAGACATTTGAGGTGACATTTTGGACTCACTTGACACTTGCTAGCTTCTAGTCGAGTTTTACACAGCAGTATTCTCCAAGGCTAGGTGAGTGAGTGGTAGAAGTGGTCAGTAGATAGCAGCAGCCAGCCCCCTCTGTTGGCCAAAATGAGCATAACATGAGACATCTGTCCATCTGTTCGGCTGCCAGGTCTTTCTTAGGACTTTCCAGTGTGTTCTTAATTCAAAGTTAAAAATGGGGACATTTCTGGGGACAGCTCCAGGCTGAGACAGGCCACCAAAAACTTGGACCGTCATTGAGAAAAGGGGACGTCTGGTCACCCTACTGTTAACCATCACTAACCTTGTCTATGAGTTAATGAAAGCTGCACTATGTAAGATTTGATTGTTAAAATTGAAAGAGAGCATGTATTTTTACTGAGTCTCTCTGTAAAGCCTGAAATATTCATTCAAAAGTCAGAGCCATCAGGTGGGATTTGGCTGGAGTTTTTCAGAGCACGTCAGATGACTTTACGTATTGAGGTCACAAACACAGACTCAAAAAGAAGGTCCAGCTTGATATGAGCTAGTTACCTGAGCAACGCTGGTGGGGGCATTGCTCACAGTGCTGATCTGTACAGTGCTGAAAATTAGTGAAAGGAAGAAGAGAGATGAATATGGAGATATCGGAATTGCAAACTCAGTTGTCCTCTGTGGCATCTCCCGAGGGTCAAAGCAAAGAAACATAGAACTAAAAGCCAGCAAGCTAAAAAGGGAGAATGACAGAGCTCAAACTTAGACCAGAATCAACACTGGCTTGGCTTTTCAGAGGTGGCGACGGCTCTGTGACCTGAAAGGACTCAAAAGGAAAGCTGAATTGGCTTTTTTCTTGCTGGACAGGTAAGTTATGTTGGTTGTTTGCTAGCTACACTCTTATAAAAGACGGTCCTTCAAGAGTTCTTTAGTAAGGAAAATGGTTCTGAACACTCCAAAACCCCTTTGCATTATTAAAGGTTCTTTGTAACATGAAATTGTTCTTCAAATTGATGGAGAACCCTTTCATGATGCAAAGGTTTTTTTGAGTGTTCATGGTTCTATATAAAACCATTTACTTTACTAAAGAACCCTTGAAGAACCATCTTTCCTGAAAGTGTAAAATATATAAAATAGCCAGCCAGATTATTACTGCTGTGGATGGTAATGTTACGTGTGTAATGTAATGCCATGTACACTTGTAATTGTGAAGTTGTTTTAGCTGTAATTTTAGGTAATTCGCTTTCTTCTCTACTTCGCTAACAGTCTTGTTTTGCTTCAGAGTTTGTCCTCTATTGTTTGATAAATCAAGCTAGCCATTATTTTCAGATACTTTCCAGTGCTACCGCTTATCTCCTTTCAGAAACACAACAATATAAAATATACTTGGCTAACATTGCCTAAGTAGATATTTGACTGAGTGGAGGCTAACATGGACACATGCTACCCAGCTGTCATATGAACAGTAATGTTATTTCTGCTCACCATCAGAGTCTGTCCGCTACGACGGCGTTTTAGAGCCACTGTTAATAAAAAAAAACAGTAGACTTTGAGAATAAAGTCGTAATATTTCGAGAAAAAAGTTGTAATATTTTGAAGATAAAGTAGGCTAACTATAGGGGGGCTGCCATAACGCGTTGGGGTCTCGGTTACTGTACTGGCGCTGGAGTTCCACTCACTCTTGTCTCTTTGTGGATCGATCATTTTGATTATCATTCTCATTGTCTGTGAAACTTCATGCCCTCTTTGAACAGCACGGAGATGTAGCCCCGATAACCGTGTAGACAACCCTGCCCACAATTCTCCTTCAACAAAACAGACAGACAGTTTCCTGCGAGGCTGTCTGGTTCTTTATTCTAAATAAACACAGTTTCCTGCACAGACGTTTCAGCTGTTTCTTATACTAATAACAGGCTGGTGCTGATGTGTCAGGAGAGACAGGGAGACTGAGTATTTCTTTATGGGTGAAATCGATATGAAAGTGTAACTCCACCACCTCCTCACAGCCCCTCATTTTATTGCAACCTTTCCTGGTATTAATGCCACTTTAATGTCATAATTCTACGATTTTTTTCTCGAAATAGTACAACTTTTTTCTCTAAATATTATGACTTTATTCTCAAAATATTACGACTTTATTCTTGAAATATCATACTGTAAGACATTTTCTCAAAACATTACAACTTTTTTCTTGAAATATTACAACTTTTCTGCCTTTCATAATCCAATCAAATCCTAAAGAATAAAATCATGTCCTGCTCACATTTATTTTTTGCCTGGTTTCTCAAGGAAATACGTCACGTTAAGGAAGAAAAATGCTTTATGATTTCCAATTCACACTGTCTTTCAAGAACCATCCATACAAAGGTTCTTTAGGGAACCTAAAGTGTTTTTCTATGACATCACTCCAAAGAACCAACTAAGTGAAGAGCAACGTTGGTGCTAATGCTGCACTAAAGTATGGTAATGACGTCTTGGTGTCCATAACATGCCAAAAGCGCTTTAGTCAAGGCTGGACGGGCCTTCAGCTGTAATGGAGGATCTCCAGCTCCCCATATGAATGTGTTAGTAATCACTGCTGCTACCTGGCTTACAAAGTGCTTCATTACCGCACACCGCAGCATGGCTGGAATAAAGAGGAGCTCCGTCTGCCTCCTCTGCTGACGTGCAGGCCGTGGCGCATCTTTGACAGGCCGTTTTCACGTACTGATAATGGCATAATGAAACCGGTGCTTTGGTGGGAGGATGGATCGCTGCTGTAGTTTTTTAGGAAGATACAGAGAAGAGAGATAACTGAAACAGGGAAAGCAGGAGGGTCTTAAGTGAATGGAGGGAGACTGTTACTAGAGAAATGGCAGAAGTACATCACCATGGAACTACAGCTCATAGGCCACACTGAGTGGCTGCCCTTTGAATGCTTTTGAGTTCAATTGGCATGAAAGGCAAGGTGGGAAAAAAGGCCACTTTGTCTGGATGTGCCTAGCAAATACCACAATAATCAAAAGGCAGCATATACCAAAGCAAAAAGAACGTCTCTCTAAAAATTCTCCTAAATAAAAGCACTCAACGTTCAATTTCTTCCCTTTAAAGCATTTAATATTTCAGCACAGACTTTTGGGGTTTTTCCATAATGGCTATGCTGAGTGGTAATGTAAACAGCTATTGCATGAGTTTTAGTGCTTTTAATAATGCCCTTATACATGCACTTTCACTGGGCAGAACAACAGAATGCTCCCAGAAAAAACTGCTGCCTATTAATGAGCTGCATCTAAAAGGCAGATATGAATCATCTCCACATCAGCGTCACTGCACAACATCATTAATGCTCAGGAGAAAGCAGTAGGCCAAAGGCTCTTACCAGAGAGGTGAAGATGTAGGTGTAGTAGACAGAGAGCATGCCCAACTCTGATGCCTGTGAGAGAGAGAGAGAGAGAGAGAGAGAGAGAGAAGCACACTGAACATTGTTTCATCATTGTTCTATTTGATACATGGCCTTCTAATGAAATGTTAGCCCTCCTAGGTCCTCTATAGCATCAACGCCTTGAAATGTCTTTTCCTCTTTTTTTTAAATAAAAGAGACGTAGCAAGTAAACACTGTTAAAGTTTAAAAACATACCATTCACTCTACAGTCCATACGGTTCATATATGGAAATTAAGCTAAAAAACAGTCCATTATTAATTTATTGTTTTTGTGATGTCACAAAACCCAACCCATTTACCACTTATTCATCCTACAGCAATCTGCCCATTCACAGTGAAGTTATAAGGAGTGTTAAGACCTGTGCTGCTTTTCAGATGAGGCACAATCTAGGATAGCCAATCAGAACAGAGCTCATTTACATATATCAGTATTAAAGGAACAGCAAAAAAAAACAGCCTGATTCGAAAGTATAAAGAAAGACTGGAAATGATGATGTAAAAATGAATTATGACTAGTACCTAATTATGACTGGTGATCTTCATTTTCTATTAACATTAGCCTATTTAAAAATGCACTGCATTACAATCCCCAGCCTGCAATGCAAGTGCCTATATACAATAAACAATATTCAATATAAACAAGGGCCAGTTCAAATCATAGAGAAATGTTAATTAAAAATGAAATAAAAACATTCAGGTGTTCTCTGGTCCACAGATTTGTTGTTGTTTCTTTTTTTATATGGCCCTTTTAGTGGGTTGAGTTTGACACCCTTGATATAGACCATTATTTCACACTTATACTGTAGGTCATTGCGAGTTGAATCTGTTGGTACAGAATGTACAATGAATGTAAATTAATTTGCTACATAATTATGCCATTCATAACACAATTATCTAATTATATTTAAATAACTATGCAATGTTATTCAAATGTACAGCAAATCAACAATAAGAACTGATGTCTTAGGGCCAATTTCACTTAATCTGTTTATATACAATGTAAATCAAATGTAATGAATTATATAACAATGTGGTTGTTATATAGAACTGTGTAATTGTGCTGGCAAAATTAAATAAGTATGCAGTGTAAACTGAATGTATAGCAAGACAACAGATGTTTTAAGGTACTAATGCACTACATTTGATTCCACTAGAACATGAAGCAGTGCAGAAGGTACAGTGAGGTGTACTGGTTTTTGAGCCCAGATCAAAATTGACAAAAGGAGGACGCCACTCCTGATCCATCAGCACTGCTCTATTCATCAATTCTCTATGGTTGCCTAGGAAACGGCAGCAGAAAACTAAGCATTTCAATCAAGTGTCACGGAGTGAAAACAGTTCAAAACTTGGCACTCTATGAAAGGCAGACAGTAGGCACTGTCTGTGTGTGTGTGTGTGTGTGTGTGTGTGTGTGCTTCTGTGAAAATGTGTGTGTTTGCACACAAGTGTGCTCATGTGTGTACATTAAGGCCCGACTGATATGAAAATTTTGTGACTGATATCAATTTAAAGGAGCTAAAAATTCCTATAATCGATAAAATTAGCAGATATAATTTAACGTGAAAAATCCATATCATGGAAAACTACTTTTTTTTTTTGATTTGTTGTACTTTGTAAACACTGCTAATGTTTCAAACACTCCACTCACTCCCCAGTCCATACAATCTATATATGAAACTAAGGTGCAAAACAGTCCGTTTTTTAAACTCCTTAATTCTGTGATGTCATGAAAACCAGCTCATGCACGTATGTCCACCTACTCAGCCCACAGCAGTTAGCCCCGCCCACTCACTGATCTTATAAGGAGTGTTTCAGATGGACTACTTTTTGAACAAGTAACAATTAGGCCTAACAAGTTACAATTAGCACAATATTTTCTATTTAACAAAATAGCAATAATTGATCACCCCACATGGTTTTTAGTTTATATGCTTTTTTGCACATTACCTGTTTTAATGAACATCCTTCATAAAAAATCACATACTAAATAATACAATACTGAGTAACCCAACATGTTTTGAAAACTACTTCACCTGTCCTTTAACAGTTACTGCAAACACCACATAATAAAAGCCAATCTTTTAGCAGTAAAAGTAAATAAGCATTATATGTACATATTATTTAATATTATTTAACAAGCTCTTTAAAGGTAAATCAGTCCTCTTTAGTTCTCTGTCAGTTTCTCAACATGGTGATTATCATCTTTTAAGCGTCATTGTCAGGCTACTCGTCAATCATCTACAATATATGACCATTACTCTATTGCCCAGGGCTAGACAGGGCAGCCAATCAGAACAGAGTTAATTTACATATCAGTCTTGCACAGTGGCTGTTTAATTCTGAGAGATAAAGACAGTCTGGAAATTAGAGACTGGAGAGGGCTCGGCCATGACATGAAAACTGTGACAGAATTGTCAAATTTGATTGTCAGTTCTTAACTGTGAAACTGCTAATACATCAATAAACAGCAGAAACTCTTATAAGAAAGTCTTATGTGGGCAGTTCTATTGAATAGGTTCTGTGGTTCTACATGAAAAAAACAAACAAAACTATTTAAAAAGTATTCAGACCTTAGACATTTACAATAAACATTTAATGATCTATTTAAATTCAAGGCATCAACAGAGATAGTATTATAGTGTACTTTCTATCGGGAGGTGGCTGTCCCAAACCCTAAGCCCTAAATAATACATCTGTTTGCACTGTTTTCAATGTTTGTTTTTTAAAAGATCTTTTTGATTTCTCTCTTTCTGAAGTGAAAAATTGATATATATATATATATATATATATATATATACATATATATATATATATATGCTGTCTCACAACTGAAACACGCAGAGTTTTAGGTCATAGACGGAGGCTTATTTTAGCCACACCCCAGCATTTTAGAGCAGGAAGTGAGAGTGCATCCTTGTCCCTCGTGGCCACATGGTGAGCAGTTAGATCCCATTGTTTTGAAGTAAATGTGTCCCAAAGTCTGAAAATCAGTGTGTAACATTAAGAATTGTCGCTACAGAAACACATATTTTCTGCAATCAAGTAATAATCTTTTTTTTTGAATAAAAATATTATTATTATTTGTGAACTGTTCAAAGCTATGTTTGCCAGACATGTAATGGCTGGTGTTTTTGAGTTCTGTGCAAAATTAGCTACAATCATCCCTGCTGAAAAAGTCACTACCAAAACGTGATAAAATTTCAGTAGAGTCATGATGGTTTTGTGAGTCACAAAATAGAATGTTCAAATTCAAACACTCAAAGCAACAGGACTTTAGTCAAAAGTCCAAGTCAGTTCTCAATTCTCTTCAAAGAAAGATTTTGTGTTAATCTCATGCTAAAGGTTCATTTTTCCCCAAATTAGGATTTCTTTATTAGTGGGATTTTTGCTCATATTGATAAATAGTGGAACGTCTACATCAGATAGTATTATCAGCCAATGTGTCCTAGTGCAGGGTTTCTCAACCACTGGGTCACGGACCAAAAGTGGGCCATGAACCACCCTCTGGTGGTCCTTGGGCCAATGCTAAAAAGGAGCCAGTGGTCTAGTGTGCCAGTGATGCCACTTTGTTATAAAAATCTGTGAAAGAATAATTTACTTAATAAAGAGAAAGAAGTATTAAATGCTTTCAAACAGTAAACACTACTAATAACAGTAATACAAGCCATGCAACAATGGCACACAAAGCAGCTTTATTTATTTTTTGCCCCTTGTCTCTAAAAAAAAATGCACTACTCCAATTTTCAATCATTCACTCATGAGTGAAAACTTCTACTTAATTTGCCAGCATTCTGCCTGATTTCAGGTATTAAACAAGCTTATATTGGCCTAATCAATTGGTAATTTATGTTCAATGATACACATCACATATTGTGGCACCCAAACACTGCTGCATGTAAAAGCTTTCATTTATTTAATTCATTTCAAAGTTGTTTTTTTTCCTGTGGTCCTTCACGCATTTTAGTGATAAAAAGGTGGAGCTTGAGGTGGAAAAGGTCGAGAACCCCTGTCCAAGTGTGCATATCATTATGGCTGTTTATAACATCCCTCTACAGCATGTAAGATGCAGCTCAGTGAGTGGCCACAGCGGAGCTGAGTATAATTACATAAGTAAAAGGATGTCGATAAGAAAACTTAACTGCTTCTCCCATATTCAAAAACAAAAGTAAAGTCTACTCAGTGGTTTCAACTGGCTTCACAAATGATTTTCTTTTTCAGAAATGCTCCCTTGGATCTTGTTCATTAATCTTGCAGTCCTGAAAATGACGATCGATAACCATATCAATTACACTACAGAGAGAGAGGGAGTAGCTTATTGGAACAGATAATGCACTGGTGCCACTGCAAAAACAGCCAACATCTTTACATAGAGATTCAGCCAAAGGCTGCCAAGGCTGAATTCATTCAGCTCAGTTTAGAGAACAAGACGCCCCATCTCACATGCTCTGATGCGTCATGTAACAGTCATATTTCTCCACATGCACCACAAATAAAACTTAACCCAGAAGGACAGTGTTTGAGATATCATACAATCAGCTGCTTCCAGAGGAAATAATCTGATATAAGGGGATTTCTCTTTTTATATTTTAAATTTTCTTTAAAAGGCTGCTGCTTCTTTGTGTGAATATTTCATCACGAATGGAATAAAATCTTGTTACATTAACGTACATTATAGTAAAGAACTTTTTTTCTTTCTCCTGTTTGTTTAAATTTGTATTTTGTACTGTTCAGTTCTATAGGCATAACTGCTTGACATACACTGTGAATTTTTGCCAGACTCTCACAATACTTAGCAGTAACTTTTCACAGTATTGTGTTGTGAAATCAACTCATCTTAAGACATTTTCTGTAATAACACAGCAAATTACTGTAAAGTGGGTGTTAAGCTGTACCGCTCGTTACGGGATAGGACAGTTAAAAGGCAATAAATATTTTCAAAATAACATTGTAACAAGTGTAATTCTGATGATCACAACTTTTTATGAACAAGT